TACCTTTCTGTTCTAATCTGCAATTGTATAACAGTCTGCCTCTGTATGTATGCATGCCCCTGTTTAATGCCGCTGGGTGTGAGGAGAGAAGGAACCGCACCACTCTTAGTTTATAGTCTGCACTCTCTGTACAAACTCCTGTGTGTCGTCATGTTAAAAGGAAAACTGAGGAACAATTACAAACCATTAAACACATGCACAGCCATCGTCATCATCGCTGTCCATTTTCCTCCTGCAGTGTAAGATTCTGAGCATGGAATGAGCCTTCACACTCACCAGAGGTTTGAAAGTCAGTCTGCTTCCCAATGTGAAGATGATTTCTGCGTTGTCTTAAAACAGTGAGCTGCTTAACAGTGGTGAATTTTTTTAACAGGCATGTGGTCCTCTCTAGAAAGACGCTTCACTAGGTTTTGGGACACAACCCAAATCCTGATAGGCCCTCTGAAAGGATTTAGCACTCAATTAATAGTTTCGGTGACGAAGAGATGTAAATAGAAGATTTTATGTTGAAAGTTCTGGTAGGGTGAAAGCATTTTATGAATCAGAATCTTGTACATCAGTTTGTTGGGAAACTCTTGTACGTGCACTGCCATACTTGGACTTTTTTGTTGGAGTTGAGATTGGGTTGATGCCCTGTGAAAGGTTTTTGATTGGTTTAACTTAGTGCTGTCGAACGATTAATCGCATCCAAAATAAGTTTTGTCTACATAATAAATATACACAGCAGTTCCGGGCGGATGACGTATAATTTAGCCCATAATTTATGGGCTAATTTTCATTTTTGGGTGAACTAACCCTTTAAGACAACACATTCAAATAATATGGTAAGACACACCAATTTTCAATATCAAGCAGCAAAACGAGCGGTTCTGTACAGCTAAAAATAGCTGGACGCGGATGAGACCGGAAGCCAGACCCATAGAATTTACAAGTGGCCGCGCCCATTTTTACGGGAAGAAAAAGGTGGATAGCGGTTGCTGAATAAACGAAAGATTTAACTGCTTTCATTAATTCAGTGTGACTAATAAACACACAACTACAACTCACTGACAAGCTACGCAAACAGCTTTCATAATCGCAGAACGATTTCTTTGATTTCATAATCGCGCTATTAAATCATCTGAGATTATGAATGTGATTTTGCGTAGCTTGTCAGTGAACTACAACTCTGTGTAGTAAACGCTGCTCCATCTGAAAGCACATGCTGGAGATTTACTACTAATGGCAGAACCGGCTTTACTGACAAGATGCGCATGACAATCGCATTAAATTAATCGTGCAGCCCTAAATTTTTCTTAAATATATACATGCATGTGTGTGTGTTTATCTATACATAATAAATATACACAGTACGCACATATATTATGTTAACAAAAACTTTTATTTTGGATTAATTACGATTAATCATTTGACGGCACTAGTTTAAATATTTATTTTATCCCACACCCAACTTGATACCCAGATTTGAATTAAGTAGGTTATTATATGGTTGCACATTTTTCCAGTTAGCCAATGGGATTATACTGTAAAACAAGATAAACTATATAAAGTATGTAGCTGATGTCAAGCTCAGCTCTAAATAACTTGAAGGCAAGACCTCAGGCACGTTTGGTTCAGAAAAGCCCATTTTGGTTCATTTTCACCCCCTCGCATGATTAACAATATGTTCACTTCCAGAATGGAGGGTTCATTCCTGCAGCCTGATATTGACTGTTTTAGTATCCAGCCAATAAGACAGAGGATTCTGTGCCATAAAGCGCACAGGCTGTTCCTGGAGGGGGTTTGTGTGAATGAAGAGCGTGTCTGGCTGCCTGAATGGATGTCCCTGCATTTATTGGTGTGTGCGTGTGTGTGTAGCCCAGTCCATATGTGGAGAGCTGTGTGTCGTCAACTGTAACTGTGTGCATGTGTTGGAGGGTTCATGTCCCCAGGATCTCTCCTTTACAGAGACCACAGGAGCTGCCCCATTCAGAGAGAGAGAAAGAGGGAGAGCGTGCTTTCACTGTCCCCTACACTGGACACTAGATCATTTCTAAAGCCTGAATATAACACACACACATTTTGCTGTTGGATAATCTTCCTCAGCTTCCCTTTATATTAAACCACTTTTACTGGATTCTTTATACATGGTTGCATTAATCACTAGTTATCAGATGAAGAGGGGTATACATTGCATTTCATATTATGAATTATGTGTATACCTGAAACATGAGTGCACAAACGTTCACCTCGTAAGGCCCTTTAACATGCATATTACTGACATACAAACACTCATATCCCCAAAAAATTGAATTGGTGTCCGTCGTCTTAAACCAACCACAAAAAAGAACTCACCCTCTTTTTCTCTCTCTTTTCCAGGGGCCGAGGGCGAACAACATCGTGGTACTCCCCTTACTAATACCTCCCCACCCCCCTATGAAATCCCCCCTATCTATAGATATCCCTATAGAAAAGAAAAAAAGACCCCTCTCAAAAAAGGAAGAAAAAAAGAAGAAAAAAAGAAAAAAAAGGGGGCGGGGAGAAAGAAAAGAGCATCTCCTGGAAAGACAGACTGACTGGCCGCAGTGTGCGATTGTGTGTGCGCGTGCGTGTGAGGAGGTGTTGCGATCGCCCTGGTAAGGTACAATATGGCCGTTTGGGAGATTTGGTGGCATTTGTTTAAATTTGAGAAGATGATGTAATCTCAGGCTGCAGATGTGTGTCCTTTTGTCTGGCTGTGAGTTTTCTCTCCGCAAACAGCCCCTTTTATGTTTGCACTCGAGAAAGGCAAACAGAAAAAAAATGTTAACTTTTTAAAAAAAAATTTTTTTTGATTGTAACGTGAATATGTGAACAATTTAATAGCAAGAATGTTGTTGTTTTCACAAAGTTGTGCTATTTGAGATCATATTCTCTTATTTTGTCTGTGCTCTCTCTGGAGTCCCTTTTCCCCCCAGCGCTGGTTTCTTTCCCGTTCATCCCTCACTCGGATTACTTCCTCCACCGGTGTTATTCTGACAGTGGTTTAGAGTTGGGCGTTGTTTTTACGTTTTACTGTTCTTGAACCATCTTCCACACCATACAACTATTGTAAGATGGCATGGCCTGAGCTCTGAGATCTTTTCTTTTGTATTTTAAAAGTTCTTTTTTTGTCTCACGCTGCCATACGCCATTCCCGACCATCCTTTCCCTGTTCCTGTGCTGCTTCTCCCCCCCACCCCGACAGTGGTTGAGAGTTCGGCGTTGTTTTTAACTTTTACTGTTCTTGAACCATCTTCCACACCATACGACTATTGTAAGATGGCATGGCCTGAGCTCTGAGATCTTTTCTTTTGTGTTTTAAAAGTTATTTTTTTGTCTCGCGCTGCCATATGCCATTCCCGACCATTCTTTCCCTGTTCCTGTGCTGCTTCTCTGCCACCCCCCACCCCTTCTGTCTCTCATGCTCTCTCTCTTTGTATATTAGACCACTTCTTGTCGTTTCAGGTTTCAGGACCAGTGGAGGCTGACTACCCCTCCTCCCGTGGCTGTGGCGCCCCCTACCGTCTCGGCGGCGTCTCTGTCTCTTTCTGCACCCGCTATGCACACTCACCCCATCCTCTCCATGTGGGGGGGCGGGGGAGGGGGACAGGGCGACCACCGGCCCACTGCGGGAGGCATTTATTACAATAACAAGCGCTGAGCTTTACCAACATGAATATACTGAGATGCACCAGGCCCATGTTAACACAGACATACAGACACCGCACACATCCACCACACAAATTTATATATCGTGAAGGCAGAGCCATGATAGAGCAATGGCTGCTTAAATTGCGAGTGAGTGAGAGAGGCAGGACTAGAAAGAGCTTGAAGGGGAGGGTTCTTCTAGGGCCTTGTCTTTCTCAGTGCACAGTGCAGTTAGGGCACGATAGAGCACTAACGCGTGGGCTACAGGTATCGGTTACTTAAGGAGGGCTTCGGAGCTTTTATTTCAGGGGGAGGGAGGGGGGTTTGTGTGGAGAGGGGTTTCTCGTTTCTGTTCACTTTCTTTTTTCAGATGGGGGAGTGGGTATGGATGAAAAGAGAAAAAATGTTTTCCTTTTTTATTTTATTTTTAACCCATGAGTCTGTAATTAGAAAAAAAATAAAAGACATTGTGTAAAAAGTATTTGAAGTGTTTGTTTGGTCTTTCTTTCGGGGCGTTCTGTGACTTCCATGCTAGGTTTCCATGGTTGTGGGTAAAGTGTAAAATAAGAGTAAAACCTAAATGTATGTGTAAAATCCTCAAGTAAGCGCAAACGACTAAAAAAACTTTTTTTTTAATTATTTGGCCATAAGGTAATTCTATCAGATGGTTTGGCCAAAATGGTTTCCTTCCAAACTCACCATAGTGATTATGCTTTTGTTGCTTTCATGCCAACTTGATGTACAATGTATTTTACTCATTACAACCTGAATTATGTACATGCTTTAGTTTTACTTGACCCTAATAAGGTCCTTGGGGTCAATATGACCCCAAATCAACTTTTCCTTAGGTAAAAAAAAAATGGTTTCCTTCATCTCAATGGAATAAGTTTTTGTGACTTTTCAACATTATCTATCTGTATTCACATAAAAATAAAAAAAACAGGCTTGATTCGGTTGTTCTGAAGGTATGTAAAAAAAATTTTTTTACAAATCTGGTCCAATTGAATAAAAATAAATAAATCCAGCATAAATCTGAAAATTTCCACACAGAAATGAAGGCCTGGTACTAGGTTAGAAATGCAATGTAGAAAAGACATGCTCATTCACATGCACACGCACAAACACGTGTGACTGCAACAAAGAGCATTTTTATAGAAATTGGCAAATAAAATCAATAAATCTGAAAATGTCCACACAAAAACGAAGGCCTGATACTAGAGCACAAATGCAGTGTGAAACGAGCATACTCGCTCACATACCTGTACACACACCATTCATATCTGCTTATTGCAGTTGTTTTTTTTTGTTTTGGTATTGGTTTAAAAAAACAATTATTTTACTTTTTAAATTGAAATAAATATGTGCCTGCAATCAAGTTTTAGTGACAACTTGTGTGGCATTTCTGCAAATTTATGTGGCATTATTGCAAAAGCGGGCACACCAAAATTAATAACTAATTTAACCTTTAAGAAAAATACGTTTTTTTATGTATTTTATGTTTCAATATATATTTACAAAGTATATATCAGAAAAGCTGTGAGAGGAGCAGTTGGCAACTTCCAGAAAAAATGAATGGATCTCTATGGACCTCTGCTGGATATATATGGTCACTACACTATTCTTTCAAGTTTTTCTCTAACCAGCAGATGACAGAATTCTACACCTAACACATATAGATCAATATCCAGAAACAACTTAAAATTAAATTTAGATCATTTAAGTGATTTTTTCATAAAAATTTAATGTTTCGCATGCAAGCTATTGGTGTAGTTGAGGAATTTTGTGGTAAACCGGTACAAAAGTACTTCATATCTCCCAAAACACAGCATTAATGTATAGATGAGAAGTGAACAAAAAATATATATATATATATATATATTATTTGTATGATTAAAAATTTATATATTTTTTACAATTACTCTTTCAATGTTGGGGTCATATTGACCTCAAAGACCCTAAGTGTAAACAGGAAATTCAGACCTTATGAGGGTTAGTGCAATAAATGATAATCAGATAACCATAATTTAAAATATAGAAGAAGAGCCAGATAATTATGCACAACCTTTTTTTTCTTTCCAAAAAATACTTTGGAAAAATACTTTGACCCTTCATGCTCCAAGTAGGGGGCAATCTTACCCTTGTAGCCTCTGAATAATTTCACATTTTGTGCTGTGACAACTAATTTAGCAAATGTCTATTTCAACACGCATGTCCTTGATAATGTCCCTTCATCTTGAAATCACATTTGCGGGTTTTATGTTATACAGTCCATTACAATTAACATTAAACTTTGAACAAATCCTGTGAAACTGGTTTTATCTCCTGATTTCAAGGTCATCCCTCAGCTTTACTTCAAAACCCTTATAATGTAGTTATAATATAGTTTTAACATATAAATAGAATTGTATATATTTTTCTGGCTTGCCACAGGCCACCATGCTTCATCTGAAAGGAATATCCATTCATCAAGCAAGGAATATTACTTTTGAAAAAGCAAAAATTATATGGTTGATTTGGTTTGCCACAGTATAGCAAACTTGTGATTTGAGTGGGACAAAAACCAGTAAAAGAACACCTGATACAAGTGACGGCCATTGTGATGCATGCAGGCTCTGCACGGGAAGAAACAATAATACATATTTGATCATGATCATTTTAGTTTGCCTTCATTTATTTCAACATAATTATCAAGAATTGGGGCATTTTTGTTCACCAGATCAAACACAATGATTGAATAGATCCGATTAAATGATTAAATATGAAATGAGTGTAGCCATATTAAGATCCTAATGACCACCACTTACAAAAATGTTTCACCACTGAATACACTTGAAAAAATAATAAAGCATGCAGTCACCTCATTTTATTAGAAACTTAAAGGATATGCAAAACAAGGTAGTCAGATTAGCACTGAGACGAACCTTTTTACATAAGGCTCCACACCCTTGTTCATGAAAGGAAAGATTTATTTAAACATGAAAAGAATCATTTTGTTGAACTTCATCTTAAAATCTCTCCTTGGCATCAGTGGTTTACTTGTGCTTCCTGAAAACTGAAAAGTTAAAATATGTATTAATATACAGTAGGGCTGGGCGATTTGGCAAAAAATTTAAATCTCGATTTTTCCATAATGTTTGACCGATTCTCGATTTTTTTACGATTTTTAACTAGTCAACTTGAAAATGTAACTACAACATGATTCAAGTAACTTTTTCTTTATTAACCCTCTAGTTAAAGAAAATTCTATTCCAAGTGCAGCACACATGAAGTTGTCAACATGATGTAAATGTTAAACAAATAGCTTGTTAAATATATTTGCAGAAAAGATGCATAAACCACAACTACATATTGTACAAACTTGTCTTATACATATTATGTGTTCAGAAATAATACGAGGAAAATGCTTTTAAAAAATCTCAAAAGTCAAGGCAATTCAAATTCAAAATGACTGAAGGTATAACACCAGTAGACTATTAGGCTCTCTCCTCCACATCACGAGTAGACATGCCCCTTATTGCTGATTGGCTACAAGTTTGTTTTGCTATTCGGCCCGAATCAGTTTTCTAAAGTGTTTTTGAAAAATCACATACCCTGCCTTTAAAAGAAGTTCACTCCCATCTTCTTGCATGTTTTACCTAATCCACTGCCGCGTCGCATCTTTGTCAACACAAAAGCGCATTGAATGAATGGCGCTTAGCGCTATATTTATGGTCCGTCACAGAGCGTCACACGTGAGCGGTTAATCACGTGCGCCGACATGTGGTTGGATCGTTCTTTTCTCTTTACTGTTATCACCGGCATATTGTCAAAGTGTCTAATTCTAACATTTGGTAATATTTCTATTCAACATCGCGGTTCCTCGATTTCTACAAAATAAAATTGTGGCAAAACATTAAATTCGAATTAATCGATAAAATCGGGAAAATCGCTCAGCCCTAATATACAGTAAGCAGCACTCACATAACATACAAAACAAATACTTACTTTTCTTTTTCCCTTTCTTGATAATTTTCTTCTTTTTCTTGGGTTTTGGATTATCAGTATCCTATCAAAAAGAGAAAATTCACTCAGAAAAGATCAACTTAAACAAACAAAAAAAGCCTTTTACCCGTTATAGAAATACTACAATGATCACTAGAACTTCTACAAGACAGGTAAAACTACCCATGATGCCACAGGCCAGCTCACCTGTGCTTCTCCCCTTGTCAGAGCGCTGATGTCACTGAATCGTGTGATGTTACCCAGCTGTGATGTCATTCCCACCATTCCTCTCTTCCCGAGTCTCTGCTCACGTGTCATACCGAGTCGCACCATCATGGACTCCTCATAGTTTTTCCTTTTATGAATATTTTTCCAAAATTAAAAGGGGTGAAAAAAATCTGAATGATGATCAACTGTTTGTTTACCATATCTACTGTATTTAATGTCTAGAATATAATATTTCCATAAATGTTCATGTCATGTACCTGTTGAGCTCTTCTCTGCTTTCCCGTTCGGTCTGGAAGTCTCTGCGGTCTCTGATCTCCTCAGGAGCATCACTGTATTGCTGTCGGAGCTCCTGGATCACAGAGCTGCGGAGTGCCGCTCTCTTCTGTTTATCGATCTGCTCCTTCTGCCGGTCTGCTTCTGTCATGTCTCCGTCTGTGTATGGACAGGGCAGGGTTTGGGATGGGTATTAACTATCAGTGCTATTGTATGTCTCTACATCTAAATCCTCAAATTAGGTAACCAACGTGAACTGCTACAAAATCAAAACACTTACCATAGTGCACTGGAGCAATTCGAGGAGGTACGTATTTCCTGCTGGCTGAGGGATCTTTTAGCCCCTTTGAGTTTCCTCCATTGTCGTCCTCATCTGAGTTCTCAGATTCACTCAGCTATGTGTGAAAGAAATGCAGCAATTATATATACAGACAGAGCTGGTTAGTGACTGATTACATGTAATCTGGATTACGTAATCCGAATTCAAAAATTAAGTACTTGTAATTAGATTAAATTACATTTTAAAATACCTGTTATCAGATTACATGATTATTTATTATTTACACAATAGCAATACATTTTCAATAATCAACTACTGATGAACACATACATTTTTATTTGAATTATCACTCAGTTGTTTTGTTTTTTTTACCATGTATTACTTTGGAAGGCCTTTGTATTTCAAACACATTAAAATGCACAAATTCATCAATTCACCAGCTTTTGTGTCATCTGATCCTCTTTCACCTAATTTATTTTTATTTGAAGTCGCCCTGAAATTTTAAAATAAATATTCTAATAATAAAGTATCACATTTGCATGTTCACGATTCTCTGACATTGGTTTTAGACACATGACAAGCAATTAAAAGATTTCATTTTTTCAGTAAGGGTTTGATTTTGATTAATTTTAAAATAGTTTTTATTTAACATTTTTATGATTTAATTACCTATTAGCTTTTCATTAAACTCCCGGCAGTTCCTTCACAAACCCAGTTTGGGAAACCTTGACGTAACGTTTAATGCACTTCATGTTGATAACAACAAATGGAATAGATTTTCTTACCCTTTGTATTTTTATATCAATATGGTACATGATTATCCTATTTAAATCAAATAGGTTCATCTAAAAGTAGTCTGATTATATTACCTAAAATGTGTAATGTAATGGATTATGATACTAACTACGATTTTTATCATGTCATTTGGAATCAGGTAGGCCAGGTTACAATTTGTAAGTAATCTACCTAGCTCTGCTTATAGAATAGAAAAGACTTTTATTAAAAATATGCACAAATTAAATCAATTTAATTAAAAGGAACATTACCTTGCTGACCAGATTCTGAGGATTAGGGCGAAAGTGTAGAGGGTCATTCTCAGCTGAAAGAAACACCATCAATCAAGGCAGTAAACTTGTGGATGAGTGTTCTTAATATGTGCAATCAATGACAAAAAGTGTAAGAATGGAAGACTTACCAAGGCTGCCTGTTACTGCGGTCCGCACTAATTTATCAATCTGATATTTCAGCTTTTGATCTAGTGGACGCATCTTCTCTAAAACCTATACAACAAAAACAGAGAGAGGAAAATTCTCCTTGAACATAGGCACAGCAATTAAAGTAGTCTGCTGTGAAAAGTATATACTGATTTACAACTGATGTGACCTGATCCATACATTTAATTGCATTTACATTATATATGGAAGTCAGAAATAACCAAGAAAGACAGGATTCATTTCGAAAATACTATGGTATCAATATATTTGATTTGATGCCAGAATTGCCAGTATTGTATTTGTTTATTTAGAGAATGAATTGATTCATCTGAGGAATTTGACAAAAAATGGATGACACACTTTGTTTTGTTTTGTTTTAACAAAGGGGTGGGAATAACTAAATTAATTTCTGAGTGTTATGTGCTTTATGAGGTTGGTGTCGTACCGTCCTTATGGTGACTAGCCTGTGGATGGCGCTGTTGTCCTTCAGACTTTCTCCTCCTGTCTTTAAACTGATCAAATGAGTGATGTCGTGAAGGTAAAACAGTAATAGATGATATCTCAAGTCCAAAAAAGACAAACCCTAGAGCGACAAAGAAAGGAGATATCAAACATTTTTAGAAGATTGTGAAGGTGTTTAATATGTAATCAATATCATAAAAATACTTCTACCTTTGAGGTCTGATAAGCTTTCTCTCTGACTTTCTTTATCAGGTCCCGGACATGACTTGTTACTGAAGCAACCTGAAAATAAGACAGCGTCAATCACCATCACATCTTCTCATATCGTTATGACCAATTGTGAAGCTGAACTCAAAATAAGACCGTATAAAAACATCTAAAGCAGAATATTCAGGTTCTGTGACATTACAGACTTGTTCTGTGAGACTGTTGAGTAGACGCACAGCAGTGGGAAGATCATTGTCTATAAGATCCTGCAAAATACAACTACATTAGTTAAGTGTTTCGCAGAGAATATATAGATCATAAAGGCCATCAGGTTAGCCAATGGACAGTTTCATCATATTTTGTCATTTATCCGCGAAATAATCCGCAAGACAATTCCACGACATGGAACATGATAATAACACTATAATCTACCAGTTACATCACAACACATCTATGTTTAGGTTCAATTAAAGACGAATTCATTTAGAATAACTCACGTTTCCAACGGTGGTGGCCGCCATCTTCGATTAACCAAGTTGATACGGATGCCACGTACGGACAAAACTCAGAGCACGCAATTCAAAAATCGTCTTGAGACAAATTGATTGAAAATGATTGACAGGAGTATTTCGTGTTCGGATGTGCTTGAATTATTATATAGACTAATTGTTATATAGAGTATTACATACACGAAGATAAAACGACCGAAAACGCCGATATTTGAGCCATTCAAAGTAAAATTAAAACATACATATCACTATATACTAAAAATTGTAAACATGAACACTATTTTTGTTTACCATTCCTGCTAGAATTCATAATCCAGCATACGGTGGTTCTCTGATCTTGCTGGTTTTAGGCTGATATGTTGGCTGGTTTTAGAGGGGTTTGGGAGCATTTTTCAGCTGGTATCGAACCAATATAAACACAACAGGATCAAATTGCAGATATCTATTTGTTTGTAGTTAATTCACAATTCTAAAATAGAATTTGTGATTTTCGACTTTACTGTACTTTTCTACTGTACAGTAATTTACATTTTATAGCCTACTGAATTGTATTGTTTATATTAAATTCTTTGCCATTTGAGCTTTTCTTTTCTAGTGTTTTTCATCTACTGCAAGATCTTTTTACAGTAGTGTAATGAAAGTAATTTTTTTCTTAAAGCTTATTGATGAATTTCACTGTATCTGCACCCCTATTTTTATGACTTGCCTAATGATTCCTGATTCCAAAAATGAGGTTACAGTGTTTTTAATGGTAAAACAACAACTGGAAATGCTCAGTTCTGTACAGTATTTGTGATGGTAATGACAAATATATTTACACAGAATCTTTTTCATAAGCAGTTAAGATTATATGAATTGAATGCGTTTGTATTAGGAATAAGTGGACAGTAAAAAAATGATTTTTTTCCAAATTAAATCGCTGTCTATAGTTCTTCTAAAGGATCAATTTAAATGTCTAGCTTGATAATAAGCCCAAAATAGAGGTATTATGGCAAATGTAACATTATGATACTGTTAATAAAACAGACATGTTTAAAGCTAATGCAATTCAACCTATTAAAACTAAAATTATTATCTCTTTTAAAAAATCTTTAGAAATTTCTCCTAATAGAAGAATCAGTAACACTAAACACAAATTCACTATTAACTAAATTTTTCCCCTCAATAAACTCCTAACTTGCTTATTTATAGTAAGTAGTTGTTGTTGTAGTTGGGCAGAGTTATGCAGAATAAGGCATTAATATGTGCTTTATAAGTACTAATAAACAGCCAATATGCATGCTAGTAAGCAACCAGCTACATGTGAATAGTGTTCCCTCGTCTAAAGTGTTACCAAAGAATCATACATTTACATTTATATGCTTGTTTCAGACACTAAGATACATGTTGTGAGTGTGTGCTTGAAAGAATTAGCTTTCACTAGCTTTCTCTATACTTTTTCTATTCTATCTTGTTTTATTTTTGTCATATATATGTCTATACATATATAAAACTTGCTAAGTGTACTGCGTTAGGCATATTATTGCTCTTTTGTTGGTTTTGATTGTTTCTCTTGTCATCGTTTGTAAGCCGCTTTGGATAAAAGTGTCTGCTAAATTATTAAATGTAGAATGTAAATGTAGAATTACATCCATAATAAGAGGAAGAGAGAGGCACAAATACATCCAAAACGGTGTTGATAAAGATATGAGATGAGAAACAGGCTTACAGAGGTGCAAAGTAAGAACAGATAGAGAGAGATGTGTGTCAGTGTGAGAAAAGCAGTGTGTCCTTGAGCAGCCGCTGCTGTACCTAAAGGCCGACGCTCTTCCTGTTAACCCTCCTGACATGATGGACCTTACAGGAATCACTAATGAATCTGTGTCTGGGCTTCTGTAACTATTAAAGGAAATCATACGTGTTTCTGACAGAGCCTTTCCCGAACATACACTCTCTTTCTCTCTTTCTTGTTATGGCCACTGAGGATATGTCTATATGTTTGTGGCTGTAAGAACACTTGTAAAATGTAATTATTATCTCTCTCTTAAAGAGCTGCCATGTTTGTTCCCATTCTTATGGATTAGAGGGAAAAAAGCAATAAAAAGTTCACCCATTCTCCCTCTCTCATCAGTAAATGGCTTTAAGTCATTCTGAGGCTTTCCTGCTCTCTGATTGGATGTTCTTTATAGTGCCGGTGAAGGAAGGCTCCCACTTAAATTAGTCTTGGCTGGTAATATCATTAGCTGGATGAAACTCTTAGAGATGTGGTCTAATTAGTCTAACTCTAAATAAAATAACATCACACCTTCAGCTCCCCTCGACACACTAACACCGAGTACAAAGATAAGCAGGGAGCATAACAGTTGAAAGTGAGTGAAATACAGACCTCATTGAAAACCTATAGGCCCCTTACCAAGCGGAGCAATCCAAGCAGATTGGCCTCATGGTCATGCAAAAAACCCAGGCCACATTACAAAGAATCCAGTGGTAACACAGTGTGAGCTGCTGCTCAGTGACAATGGAGTGCCGCGCACCCCCACACCGACTATCAGGGGAGTTTTAACAGTTATGCGTCCTGCCACATAAAGGATTACCAGG